TCACGCCGCCCCGTCGGCAGTGTCAGCACCACGTCTGGACCGTGAACCACGGGGGGCTCCGCCTGCGAGCCCGGCTTCCGGGTGGAGGGAGGCTGGCCGCGGGCCCCTCTCCCTGCGGGACCCCAGCGCCCTGCCGCCGCGGGCCTGCCTCTGGCGCCGTCGGAGGGCCGTCACAGGCCGCCTCTCTGCCCTAGGAGTTCGCGGCGCTTACGAAGGAGCTCAACGTCTGCAGGGAGCAGCTCCTGGAGCGGGAGGAGGAAATCGCCGAGCTGAAGGCGGAGAGAAACAACACGCGGGTCAGTGGGGACTGGCTGCCGGGCGCCCCTCGGGCCCCGCCGGGCTGCGCGTCTCCGGGCCTCAGGCCCCGTCGGCCGGCTGTCGTCCGCGTCCCTCCTTTCCTCCTAGCGCCTAGGGCCGGTTCAGCCTTCCCCCGGCGGGCTTAGCTTTGGTGACGAGAACTGATGCGCTCACACGGTCGGGGGTCCTCTGGGGGGCCGCACTGAAGGGACTCGGGCTTGCGTGAGCGTGAGCGCGGCGCTCTGAGCGTGCTGTCCGCCCCCAGCTGCTCCTGGAACACCTGGAGTGCCTGGTCTCCCGGCACGAGCGCTCCCTCCGCATGACCGTGGTCAAGAGGCAGGCCCAGTCCCCGGCCGGCGTGTCCAGCGAGGTGGAGGTCCTGAAGGCCCTGAAGTCGCTGTTCGAGCACCACAAGGCCCTGGATGAGAAGGTGCCACCCGGCTCATGCCCGTGCCTCGGGGGCGGGGCCCCTGCGTCCCCCACGTCCCACGGTGCCGCCGACGCCCGGCAACACAGGGAGCCTTGCGGCCCGTTTCCCCGCCGCTGGAGGCTCTGCCTGGCGCCCCTGACTTAGGTGTCAAGGACTTGTCCTGGGTTGTGGTAGGAGCTGGGGAATGTGTTTGGTTTAGAGATTTTTCGCAAAGGCAAAATGTCAAGCTGCTCACGGGCAGCCTTCCTGGGAGCGAGTCAGCGATGCGTGGCACGCGCCCCTTCTGCCGCCGGGGACCGGCCTGCAACGCCACACGTGGCCTCCGCCTCTCGTTTCCAGGTGAGGGAGCGGCTGCGAGTGGCGCTGGAGAGGTGCAGCTTGCTGGAGGAAGAGCTGGGCGCCACGCACAAGGAGGTAGGCTCGGCCACCGGGCCTGGGCTTCCGCCCGCACCTCGTGGCGGGGGGCCGGCCGGGGTGCGGGCCCCGCAGGCCCGTCAGCGGGCGCCCGCCGCCTGCCGCTCTAGCCTTGGGCCCCGCGCCCGGCGTCCAGGAGCGCAGAGGTCCTGCTCTGGGGTGTCAGCCGTAGTCGGGCGGGCTCGCGGCCCTCGTTCCCGCAGCCCCCGTGCCCGGCGCTCGTCTCCAGATGGGCTTCGTCGTCTTGTCCTCTCTCTCATGTCGGCCCTGGTTTGGTTTTGTTTTGGTTTAGCTAATGATTCTCAAAGAACAGAATAACCAGAAAAAAACACTAACAGATGGGGTGCTTGACGTTCCCCGTGAGCAAGAGGCCACGCCGCACGCCAACGGCCAGGCAAGTCCCGGCTGCCGTGTGTCCCCCGCGCGGCCCGGCGCTGTGAGCCCGCGGGCCCCGCCGCGTCCCCAGGCCCTCTTCCTGAGCTGGCCCGCTGAGGCCGCTGAAGGACTTTCCCCCGCAGAGGTCTTCCGGCGGCTCCTTGAGCCACGAGGAGGACCTGGCCCAGGTGCTGCAGCTCCAGGAGGTCATCGACAAGCAGGCGCGAGAGCAGAGCCAGATGAAGGAGCGCCTGGCCACCCTCTCCAGCCACGTGGCCGAGCTGGAGGAGGACCTGGACACGGCGCGCAAGGACCTCATCAGGTCCGAGGAAGTAAACACGAAGCTGCAGCGCGACGTTCGGGAGGTGAGTGACTGCGGCGGCGGGTGTCACCGGGGACCGGCACCGTTTCATCCCGACTCTCCGGGGACGTTGCCTGGGGCTCGCTCCAGGAGCTAGCAGACGGCGCCGCCGCGGGCCGGGCCGGGCTCCCTTGGCTCTGCAAACTCCTCGCTCCGCGACTCTGCGGCGGCG